GATTTACAAAATTACGTTTATGAAAAGATAACTGATGAAAATTATGAAAAGATTATGAATCATGTTTATAAATATGATCGCAAATTCCAACAAATCGGACTTCCTGCCAAATTAATTACAAGCTTAGCCGCTACATCTGCTGACGCAACAGTTGATGACGTTATTATTTCATGCACAAAGATGGAAGTTTTAGAGGATAAATGCATTACAACCAGGATACGGTTTAATTGAAGAATCAGTTAAAGCAATACCACGTTTATTCAGTAAGGAAGATCCATTCATGATTCCAGCTCAACATATTGACGTTCGTTCACTAAATGGAGGTTGCATCACTCCTGAAGGTATTAGCTCAGATTTCTCATACGCTCTTCATAATGTTACAGATGTTGTGTTAACATTTCCGAAGAATGCAATGCAAAGAACAGTTTTAGAAAATCCAATGCTTCGAGGTCTTCAGGTCACTATAGATTCCAGAAACTTCCCCGATCAAGCGATGACCACAGTGGGTGACATATTCTTTACACGTATGCTTCAAGCTTCTGATTTAGATGGAGTGAATGAATGCACAGAAGAATACGAGGACTCATTAACTAGACCACTGAATGAGATGATGGCACGCCATTAGCTAGAACATGGAAAGACCAAACTTCATTCTTATGCACTATTCCAGTTCAACGTGATGGAGCGGGTATATTCTTTGATGGATTAGAAACTTTCAACTCACAAGTTACAGTACAAGTGAAAGCTTATCCAATCATTCAGGGTGAAAATGACACTTACTGTTCAAAGGTGACAAATCCTCCTCAGGTTTGGTTTACTAGGACTACGTATTGGACATGGACACCGGATGAAGGTTTGAAATATCATCCAACAGGTAGACCACCACAGTATAGAAGTTCATATGATGAAATATTGATGAATAGAAATGTTTAAAATTATAAATTTATTTTTGATTAAATGGATTTAAATTCATCCACCCTTATGAAGAATTAGCAGGAGTATATAATACAGACATAGATGATATGATTAATGAAGCATTGAGTGATAATAGAAATGCTCTATCTAAGGAAAAATTAATGAAAATTCCATATTCTGAATGTTTTAAATTCAATCACTGCAGCAATTGGTAAACAATAAAGGTAAAACATTAACGATATTAAAACAAATTATCATTATTGCTAACACTTCCCCCTATTCACATGTGTTAATTTATATCAACCGTTCAGGTTCACCTTCAGATGATACATTTGAATCTTTAAAGCATTTAATCAAAATTCCAATTATTTATTTATCACAAGAAGAAGCAGAAGATTATTTAAAAAACTTTTTAATGTATAAAGAATTATATAATACAATCAAGAAGCAAGGATTAGAGGATAAAATTATTGATAAACAACGGATGAATTATTTGAAACACTTTCTATTTCAAATTTTGATAGAGAATTTTTGCATTCACTCATTTTTCTAGATGATGCGGTGAAATCAAAACTAATAACAAATGAGAAATCATATTTTAATCAGTTATTAACTCAATGTCGACACATTCAGTGTTCATTCTTTATGGCTGTTCAATATTTCAAAGCATTAAGCACAAACATTAAATCAAATCTATCAACACTTTTCATTTTCAGTGGGTTTAGTCGTCAAAGTTGAACGTTATGCTTTATCAAGTGAATTTACCAATGAGCATTAATGAACTTTACACACAATATCAGCAATTAGGTGAACATGGAAAAATAATAGTTGATTTAAATAAAGGAAGTGTTAAATTTGATTAACTTTTTATAATTAATTTTTATTTTTTATTTATAATTAAACATGACAGAAATGGTAAATCTTCTACAGGTTCCATTAAAACAAGGGACAAACAAAAAGGGTGCATATAATAGAACTATGAAAGTTCCTGATGGAATGAAAGAATTAGTTCATATTGTTGCTGGTCTTCAAAAAGATGTTAAACAAATGAGAAACGTTTTAACATTACCAGAAGCTCAAGCATATGCCAAACGTCAAGGTCCAAATTGGGAAGCACACGAAGCAGACATTACGGGTCCAAATGGAAAACCTGATGGTATAAATGAAGTTTTCGTTACTGATGGTCAAGGAATATTAAAGTCATAAATGGTTATAAATTAACTATATCTGATTATCCTAAACGTAAAGCATATAATGAACGTTATCCTATGCAATTTGATGAAAATGGAAAAGCTGTTAAACAATCATTGGAGAAGGTGAAAATGGTCCAATTAATTCATACCGTCATAATCCATATTCTTATTTCAATGAAGAATTAAATGCTATTGAAGAGGGACCGGATGGATTACCACGATATTCTAACCAGTTTGATGGTCAATATGCAAATATTAGACCTGAAATTTCAGCTAAGAAATTCTTTAAAGTTGCTTTATTCGATCCGTTTTCGCAAATGTTAAAGATGAACTTAAACAGCAATTCCAACCAATTATAGTAGCAAGAATTGCATCAGGTGCTTTATCTCAAGCATTCAAAGATTTAATTAAGAAACCATTATATCAGCAACGAGGTTTAACTTATGATTTAGTTAAGGAATCAGATAAAAGAAAATTTGAGAAATCAGATGATTATAAGAATGCAATTAATGAATATATTCGGTCTATTAATTCGATGAAACAGCTAAAAATCAACTTCATGAACAAATACAGGGAATAATAGATTCAAAAGTTCCAGCAAAATAAAAGTTTAAATATATTTTTTTATTCGAATATAAATGAGAAGACGTTTCACTAGTCAAAAGAACACTAACGCAAAAGCAGAGATTACGGTTGGTTATAACGTAAATGATGATAAATCACGAATTATTCAAAATGTTAAAGTTAATGTTAGCCCTGAATTAACAAGGTCAGCAACTCAACCAAATTTATTAACTCGTGACTTACCGAAAAAGGAGGAGGAGCAAAATAAAGAAGATGGAGACCCAATCATTTTATCTGAACCCGGTAAAGAACCTGTTGAAATTCCCACTTATCCAACATACCCCCACCTCTTTCATCAAACATCGAGAACCCATATAAAATAGACATTAATTCTGAATTAATGAAAATTTACCGTGATATAATAATTAATAATTATGATTCAATAATAAATTTAATTGATCAATCCGGTTTAATTATTTTACCTTATGAATCATTAATTCACATTATCGCCATTCTTTGTGATGTTCAAGATTCAGACGTTAAGATTCAATTTTTCATAGATGATGAGGTTTCATGCTGCGGAACAGTTGCAAAAATAAATCCTATAAAGGATATTAGCACAATTAAGATATCAAAGAACGGAACAACAACTGAACTTCATTTAAACATATAATGATATTTATAATAAAATAGTTGATGAATATAAATATCACTTGAAAAATTCTTTGTTAAGGCTATTTAATATTCAAGCATTAACATTATTGAATAATAATCCTTTGAATCATAATCAATAATAATTGACCTTTCACCAGTTTCTATCGTTTGTTTTATTTCTTTTTGTTCCCCACTATCTGGATCGGTCATTGTAATTGTTTTTGTTATAGTATCAGCTTTATCTTTAACTTCAATCTTTTTTCCATCGGGATATTTAAACCAAAATTCCAAAAATTTCGATATTGTCAATCTGTTCATATTTTAATCTATCAATTACATTTTTAATACCATCTGAAAATCTTATGAAATGGTCATTATATGGGTTTGATTGAACTAAATTTGAATGAAGTGAAATATAACCTGTTGATGAATATGACACTGACTCATATTTTCTGAAAACACTAAAATTTATAACATGAATGAATTTCTTATTCGTTGAATTTATGAATTCTTTGAGGTAATCTTATTCTAGTTTTATTTATCACTGGAAAATAACGCTTTACCATATTTTATTCGTAATAAAATGTCAATTATCAATATTATTTCGAATAATAGTTGTGAATTAAATTTAACAGTTAGCGGAATTTATAATGTTACTCTCGTTTCTGTGAGTGGTAAATTTAATCCCATTCTTTTAGACCCTTCAGATTATATATCATTTATTAAAGATGACCTTGAAAAAACGTATGATATGTATATAAATAATGTGATAGCGAAATGGGATATTAACATGATTTTAAGTTATTTAAATGAATCATTTATCGTATGGTATGAAGAAAATTTTAAATCAAAACCCGATAAACTTTTTGAACTTGATGAAATAAATAACCTTATTAAATTCCCGCTGAAAATTAAATTTTGTACTCCTCATCTTCGTTCATTGTTGGGAATATTAAATTTTGAAAAAGATGTTGGGGATGTTTTGTATTCTGACACTGTTCCAATTTCATTTTAATCAAATGTGATAAAGTTAATACCCCAATGAGATTTTCACATCAAAACATTAGACCCTAACTCTTACCCTCAATACAAAACATTTTATCCATCAACTTAAACACATTTTCTTTATCATATCCATTTCAATTATCCGGGAATTCATTTATTCTTCATTCAAAAGATTTATCAAATATTAAATTTAGAATAACTGACCTATTTGATTGTGATTTAGAATTTATGAATGAAATATTATGGCAATTTCAAATAGAGAAAATAGCCGATGAGATAACGGATTAAATATTTATTTTTAAATCATAATAAATGATTAAACAACAGCAACTTAAGGCGCAAAACACCCAGGTCCTTCAGACCATTACATACGCCATATATGCATATAATTCAAAGACGGCAGAACAAACGCAAAGGTTGAAATATGGAGATTTGGAGATAGTATTGAAAAATGAACATTTCGAATTCGTTTGCAAAGGTGGTGCAGTGATATCAAATATAAAAGAAATTTTATTTATGAATTCAAAAATTAAAGGAATAACGGATGATATAAGATCAATTCCACCAGAAGAACAGAGATATTACGCATTAAATGCATTTCCTAAAGTTTTGAAGATTGGAAGATTTAATTTAAATGAGGAATTCATAGAAGGTTTCCTAAATGACATAATGAAGAAGGTGGATAAGGAATATGTGGATAGTGAGTTAAATAAGAAGGCAAATTTGGTTTATGTTGATGAAAAAGATAATGAAATTAAAGAAAAGGTTGAATGGTATCATGAATGGACATTTGAGACTTTTAAAGTTAAAGCTGATACAGAATGGGTTTCAGGATGTTTAGATCTTAAAGCAGATAAAACTTATGTTGATGAAAATTATGCAAAGAAGTCGGAAGTAAATGATGTGATTACAAGCATGAAAAATGAAATACTTCAAACATTATATCCTGTTGGTTCTATTTATACGTCAATGAACTCAACAAATCCATCAACAGTTTTAGGTTTTGGTGCGTGGAAGCAGATTGTAGATAAATTCTTATACTGTGCTAGATATTCAAAGCAAACAGGAGGTTCGAAGAAAATTAAAGAAGCAAACCATCCACCGCACACTCATACAGGAACTACAAACACAACAGGAAATCATTCACATTCAATAACAAAAAGAGGTTATACAAATCTTGCAGCGGGTTCGGATAGATGGGGAATGAATAGATATGATATCACAACTGACCCAGTAGATTCAAGCACAGGTATTTTCTGTGGAACCGCAGGTAATCATTCACACACTTTCACAACAAATCCAACAGGCTCGGGTAAAGATTACATACCACCATTTGTGACTGTATTCGCATGGTACCGCGTTCATTGAACGCGCTTGAGCCCAGACTTTTGGGTCAAGGCTTACCGAATGAACTAAATATATTTTATGTCTGTAATTAATTAGGTAATGAAGTAATGGATGAACTGCAGAAATAAATGTTTACGTTAAGTGACTCAAAGAGTCCGGAGACAAAGTCTCATGGTTTCAGGTTATTCAATAATTAATTATTTTTGAAGAACTGAAGGTGCTACCATGTTACCATGTGCTACCAGGTTAATTAACTTCTCTGAAAAAGTGTGACAACATGACATTTTGACAACACAGCAGGAGGAAGGCAGTTATGAATTATTTTTGAAGAACTGAAGGTGCTACCATGTTACCATGTGCTACCAGGTTAATTAACTTCTCTGAAAAAGTGTGACAACATGACATTTTGACAACACAGCAGGAGGAAGGCAGTTATGAATTATTTTTGAAGAACTGAAGGTGCTACCATGTTACCATGTGCTACCAGGTTAATTAACTTCTCTGAAAAAGTGTGACAACATGACATTTTGACAACACAGCAGGAGGAAGGCAGTTATGAATTATTTTTGAAGAACTGAAGGTGCTACCATGTTACCATGTGCTACCAGGTTAATTAACTTCTCTGAAAAAGTGTGACAACATGACATTTTGACAACACAGCAGGAGGAAGGCAGTTATGAATTATTTTTGAAGAACTGAAGGTGCTACCATGTTACCATGTGCTACCAGGTTAATTAACTTCTCTGAAAAAGTGTGACAACATGACATTTTGACAACACAGCAGGAGGAAGGCAGTTATGAATTATTTTTGAAGAACTGAAGGTGCTACCATGTTACCATGTGCTACCAGGTTAATTAACTTCTCTGAAAAAGTGTGACAACATGACATTTTGACAACACAGCAGGAGGAAGGCAGTTATGAATTATTTTTGAAGAACTGAAGGTGCTACCATGTTACCATGTGCTACCAGGTTAATTAACTTCTCTGAAAAAGTGTGACAACATGACATTTTGACAACACAGCAGGAGGAAGGCAGTTATGAATTATTTTTGAAGAACTGAAGGTGCTACCATGTTACCATGTGCTACCAGGTTAATTAACTTCTCTGAAAAAGTGTGACAACATGACATTTTGACAACATTAATGAAAATTTGATGCAGTACAAAAATAAAGTTAGTTTTAAAATTATTTTTATTTATTTTTTATTTTGTATGTAAGAACAGTAATGTCGGTCGAAGCAAAAACATTCACGAACAAATCTAATGGTGAAACATTCACAAAAGGCACTTATAACAGTATTGAAGTCTTACGTAGAGACAAGGATGGTTATATAAATGCAACAAAGATGGCAAGAGAAGCAGGAAAGTTAAACCATTTAAACAGATTTCTCAATAGTGCTAAAATGCAGGAAATTCTTGAGTTTTGGATGAACGAATACGGTGGAGCCAAAAGTGGCTCGACCTCAAAACAAGCATTTTATGAGCTTACAAAGGGTGTTATAAATGAATTCAAAGGTATTTACATACATCCTAACCTCGTTCATTTTGTTGCTGAATGGTGCTCTGTAAAGTATGCATTTTATGTCAAAGATATTATGGACTCCATAGACAAGAAAGTTCATGAGAAATTAGATGAAGAAGAACTTGAAGATACAGTAGAGAATGCTAAACCTTTGTTCGAACAAGAAGTTAGAAAATGCGCGAAAAACAATTAGAACATGAACGTGAGATATGTTATGGTTATAGAGATTCTCCATTCGAACTAGACCAATGGGAACAAGAAAATTTAAAGAGAGAATTTAGAGAATATGAACTCGCTAAGATAGCATTAGAAGCTGCAGAAAAGAAGTTAAAAGCTTGGGGTCGTTTTGTAAAAAAATATTGTGAGTAAATGAACTCATTATTTTTGTCATAAAGACATGAAGTGGCGGGGCATAGCCCATGACCAAAAATATATTTTATCGTTAAGTGACTCAAAGAGTCCGGAGACAAAGTCTCATGTTTCAGGTTATTCAATAATTAATTATTTTTGAAGAACTGAAGGTGTCACCACGTCACCATGTGCACCAGGCTTAATTAACTTCTCTGAAAAATGATGACAACATGACATTTTGACAACAGGTCGGGAAATGATTTGTCATGACTTATGAAGGAGGCGTTGAAGATGTTTATTACCATCTAAGAACTTGAGAGAATCTAAACCAACTCATCTGGGACCATTAGAGCGGGAGTACTGGAAAGACAAAAAATATACCAGAAAGAATAAAGAAAATTCTTCTAAACTTTTTCATTAGATGTAAATCAGACATGAACGAGAACAGTCATGATATCATTAAAGGTACCATTTATTTACACCAAAAAATAATGTTTATGTTAGCATGTTAGATCTAACACGTTTTCTAACCACTTTTTCTAACATAACTATTTACAAACGTTTTACATGGTATATGTTGCGATGGTTCATGACTTTAAACAGTTTTGTAGCTTCTATTTCTTCACGAAGAATATCAAAAATTTTAACTATGCCGAAGGTTTCTTTATACTTCTTCTTGACATCAGATAGAAGGAAATCGTCAGCTGTTGGATAGTTTTTGTTCAGAAATGCTAACATGTCCATTTTATCTTCTGCGGTTTTCTCTACTTCTTCTTTAAGTCAGCATAGTCGTTTCTCATACGTTCTATCTCTTTGACGGAGTAGTTATATTTCCTCATTGCTGCTTTACATTTTGAACATTGCGGATTCATTTTTGCGTTATACATTGAAATTTGACCTGCTAGAACAACTAAGGCGTCAATGGTTTTCTTTTAACTCAAAAGTTGTTGGTTTTATTTGTCCATTCCATATTTTACATCTTTTATCTTTATCTCTTATCTGCCATACACATTCAGCAACTAATGAAACAAAGTTGTCGTATGTCTTAAACTCCCCAGATTAATATATGTCAGAGATGTTCTTATATACCATGTCGCGATCTTTGTCCATAACTTTATGGTTGCAATGATATCCTAGAAACTCATAGTTTACTTTACGTATGAACTTCTTTATTTCTACTGAGTCAGTTGGTTTCACTTCTATTTCATCGAATTCATGAATAGTGAGCTTTTGTTGTTGGATTTCAGGCAATTTGGGTAAATGGTCAATAATGTCCTGCATGTCATAAAGATACTGTTCATTTGTTTCATCTTTCGCACTACAGTCTAAATTACTTGTTAAAAGTTCTTGCTTAATTCTTTGTATTTCTGTCTCAAAAGTATATGAAGAAGGAATGAAGCTTTTCATCTCTACTAACATAGATGTTGGATTCATAACTAAAGAGTTTGGTGAAGTTGTTGTTTGAAGTGTTTGTAGAACCTATTGTTTGAAATCATATCTTTACATACAAAATAAAAATTTTTCTTAGAAAAAAATTAGCGTTATTTTTCTTTCATAAGGAAATGTCAAAAATTCATGATTTTCGAGAGTTTTAGACCATGTAGAAAAGTGGTTAGAAAACGTGTTAGATTCTAACATGCTAACATAAAACAGGTTGAACCAAACGATAATGAGGATTCATTTACTGACGATGAAATACCTGTAAATGATGCTTTATAAAGTATGATTTGAATTTATTTTTGCATTAATCCTGCGTGAATTTTGTATAAAAAAAACAACCGTCTGAATTCCGGCGGTTGCTATATTCTTCACAAAACATTAACGATGAAATCATGACAAAGCATATACGATGAAATCATGACAAAACATTAACGTAAACATTTATTTCCCCGACTGTTGTCAAAATGTCATGTTGTCACACTTTTTCAGAGAAGTTAATTAACCTGGTAGCACATGGTAACATGGTAGCACCTTCAGTTCTTCAAAAATAATTCATAACTGCCTTCCTCCTGCTGTGTTGTCAAAATGTCATGTTGTCACACTTTTTCAGAGAAGTTAATTAACCTGGTAGCACATGGTAACATGGTAGCACCTTCAGTTCTTCAAAAATAATTAATTATTGAATAACCTGAAAACCATTAACGATAAAATAACTGATAACAAATTTTTATTTTTATATAAATGGATACCCCACAAGCTCAAAATTTACCACGAATCATAACAAGGGAGGAAACGATAAAAATGATGCGAGAACTTGCTAAAAATAACAAACCACTAAAACTGAGAAAATGCGGTTATGCAGTAATGATGGAAAGAGAGATGTTGTCAAAGAGAAATAAAAATTAAATTTGGATAGAGTTTAAAAATTCATCTTTATTAAATTCATCTCTTCCAATCAATTTATTTATTCTATTAAATTCTTTTATTTTTGCTTCACTCAGTTTAAGGATTGAACGGTAAGTTTCTAACTTTTCGATTATTTCCTTCTTCTCTTCATCGTTTTCAGTTCCATTAGTTTTATGGGCATCAACCCCACCGCATTGCGGCTTCTTTTTGTAATAGCATATTTTTGATTTAATTCTGTTTAGTTTCTTTTTATATTCATCGTCTGGACTCTGAATCTTAATTAAATCAGGACTCTTGACTGCTTTGTTGTCACTCATTTCTTACGAAATAAAAAAATTAAATATTATTTAAATATAATGGAGTAATAAAATAAATCGGAATTTCTATTAATTTATTGTCAACTTCAACTAATGCATTGCCGTTAATATATCTAACAAATTCAGCTATTGTGTCAAATCTTCGTCTTCTTTTTGTCATTGATTTATCAGTTTTTCCATAATCGAGATGAATCAAAACTTTATCCCCTTGTTTAAAATTCATGAGCCCCGAATTAATTTGTTCACGTTTAACATCATTTAACCTTTCCATTTGCTTTCTAATATATTCCCATTCTTTTGAAATATCATTTTTCATTTCCACCGGTTTCATGTTTATAGTTCTATGCCATGTATTATTGTAATAATATACTAACTGTTGTATGATGGAGTCATGATTTCCATCCCAGTATATCTGACCGTTAACCCCTAACGCATCTCTAAGAGTTCTCATTACCGCATCAACTATTTTATTATGAAACGTATAT